GCCACCACACACACACACAGCATGGCCTGAGCCATCACACACACACAGCATGGCCTGGGCCACCACAGACACACAGCATGGCCTGGGCCACCACACACACACACAGCATGGCCTGGGCCATCACACACACAGCATGGCCTGGGCCACCACAGACACACAGCATGGCCTGGGCCACCACAGACACACACAGCATGGCCTGGGCCATCACACACACACACAGCATGGCCTGGGCCACCACAGACACACACAGCATGGCCTGGGCCACCACAGACACACACACAGCATGGCCTGGGCCACCACACACACACAGCATGGCCTGGGCCACCACAGACACAGCATGGCCTGGGCCATCACAGACACAGCATGGCCTGGGCCATCACACACACACACAGCATGGCCTGGGCCACCACAGACACACACACAGCATGGCCTGAGCCACCACAGACACACACACAGCATGGCCTGGGCCACCACAGACACACACAGCATGGCCTGGGCCATCACACACACACACACAGCATGGCCTGAACCACCACAGACACACACAGCATGGCCTGGGCCATCACACACACACAGCATGGCCTGGGCCATCACAGACACACACAGCATGGCCTGGGCCACCACAGACACACACAGCATGGCCTGAGCCACCACACACACACAGCATGGCCTGGGCCACCACACACACACACAGCATGGCCTGGGCCACCACAGACACACACACAGCATGGCCTGAGCCACCACAGACACAGCATGGCCTGGGCCACCACAGACACACAGCATGGCCTGGGCCACCACAGACACAGCATGGCCTGGGTCATCACAGACACACACAGCATGGCCTGAACCACCACACACACAGCATGGCCTGGGCCACCACAGACACACAGCATGGCCTGGGCCACCACAGACACACACACAGCATGGCCTGAGCCACCACAGACACACACACAGCATGGCCTGAGCCACCACACACACACAGCATGGCCTGGGCCATCACACACACACACAGCATGGCCTGGGCCATCACACACACAGCATGGCCTGGGCCATCTCACACACACACCATGGCCTGCCCTCAGGGACTTCATCAGGGCTCTGAACCAAGGTCCTGATCCATCCCCATCCTCCTCCTCATCCTCACACTGAGCAGGGTGAGGCAGCCCTGGCACCCTGAGCCCCACCAGTGACACTTCAGCTCCTGGCACAGCCCCAGAGCAAGCCAGGCACTGCTGTGCCTTCTGTCCCATCCCTGCCATGGCACATGTGACAGGGGCACCCAGCAGAGTCCCTCAGAGGTGTGCTGGGAAAGGGACATGGAAAAAGGCAGCTGGAGCTGCAGGGAACACACAGCTGGGAACAGCTGGGCACCCACGCTGCCACCTCCCCCCTTTCACTTCTGGAGGCAGAAGAATTGCTCAGAATAATCCCTGGGCCTGTTGGGAGGAAAAACACTTGCAGTTCAAACCAGGGAAAAATGCTGAGCAGCACTGCAGAAGCAGGAGTGGTAATCCTGGAATGGTTTGGGTGGGGAAGGACCCTACAGCCCATCTCAGGCATGGGGACACCGTGGGGACACCGTGGGGACACCGTGGGCACTCCCATCTCATCCCTCCTGCCATGGGCACACCTTTCACAGCCCAGGCTGCTGCAGGAGCTCATTCCACACTCAGCCCTGCTCCTGCCTCTGTGCATTTCCCCCCCTGGAGCTGCTGCTGCAGCCTGGGCTGAGCAGGGACAGGCACCAGGCCTGGGGCTGCTGCAGGCTCTGGCCACCCCCAGCTCCTCCTTTGAAGCAGCAACACTCAGCAGAAGTGCAAATGAAGCACTTGCTCCTCAGCTCCAGCCCTGTGCTTCCAGAGCTGTGGGTTTCTGGAGTTCAAAGAGGGAAGCACCTTTATCCTCCTCCTTTATTGCTGCTCTTTGTGCTGATTCTCACTTTCCCAGTTACTGAGTCAGGAAGTTCCAAACACTTGAATTTCAACACCCAATCTTTGCAATTAAAAAAAGAAACAACATGTTTTTAGATACTTTCGGTGCAATCATTAATCATCATCATTTAAAAGATTTTCGCCTCCTGAATTTTGCCGCTCCCTAATTTGCATAGAAAAAAATAATATGTGAAAGTAATTAAGATGAACAGAGGCTTAATTATCCTGCATCGCAGGGTCAAAGTGTCGCAATTAATGTTCATCCAAGGGTAATTAATTTCGAGAAGCTTTGAAAGCTCCACTTCCTTTTTATTCCAGCATGGTGCCTCCATTCTCAGCGACCACCTGCTTCTCCTTGGAATTTCTGAGAAAATTCCACGTGATTGGGGCTCAGTGAACTCTGGCAGGGCCTTTCCCATGACACAGCCCAGGAGCTGTGTGTGCTTTCACAGACCTGTAAACTATTGCAGTTACTATGGAATCCAACTGGGATGGCATCCCAGTGCCCATCTCTGCATCCCAGTGCTTATCTCTGCATCCCAGTGCTCTCCTCTGCATCCCAGTGCTCTCCTCTGCATCCCAGTGCCCATCTCTGCATCCCAGTGCCCATCTCTGCATCCCAGTGCCCTCCCCTGCATCCCAGTGCCCAACTCTGCATCCCAGTGCCCAGCTCTGGATTCCACAGCCCCGTCTTCCCCAAACATTGGTGCCTACCCAGAACAGCACAGCAGCTTCCAGGAGAGCCCTGACCCACTCCCTGAGTATCTGTGTGGTTTTACTGGCCTTGGAACATGACCCTGGGGCAGGGAAGCAGGGAATGGGAAGCAGGGAAGCTCCAGGAGCTGGCAGCTCCTCCCAGAGCAGTCCCAGGAGCTCTGGGGCGCTGTGCCCACGGGATGGCTCTGGCACTGTTACCTGTACTTTCATTTCCCGATCCGTGTCCCAGATCCGGATTATCCTCACGTCCCCCGAGGTCATCAGGAGCCCGGTTTCTTGTTCCCAGTCCACCACCATCCCTGCTCCTGAGACACAACAAGGCAAGGCTGCACTCCCTGGAGCATCAGCTCTGCTGACCTCGCGCTGCAGACGCTGTCACAGCCAGGGGAAATGTAAAATGACACACGCAGACACCCCAGACATCCTCCAGATGGGGCTGAATCAGCTGCTCCTGCATCTGAGTGCAAACCCTGCCTGCTCTGAGCCTGCTCGGTCCCTGGGGAGGGAAGCACAACTTCCAGGAACTGCCGGGGGCAGCAGTGCCCAGCACTGCACACAGCACTGACACTGAACGCCGATGGGAGAGACTCAGCTGGTGCCACCTCCCAGCCACAGCTCCTGGACCGAGCCCTGGTTCTGTCACCAGGATGTGGGAGATGCTCCTGGACAAGGAACAGCCAAGCCAGGGCAGCCACGGAGAGAATTTAACAGCTGGAGGGAGCTCAAACCAGTTCGCTGCACTGACTGTGAGGAGGGGAACACCCTGCAGTGACAGCAGCTCCAGCACCCTCACAGTGCTCTCATCCCTGAGGGCACAGATCACATCTCCAGGGCAACTTCAGCACAACCCATCCACGCTGTGTTAAAAACACAAACAAAACCCCGGCAGCACCACGGGAGGGAACCAGGGGAGAAATCCAGGCTTGGTGTCTGCTCCAGCCCCTCGGGAGGGCAGGGACAGCAGCAGAATTCCTGTCTGAGTAGAATTCCTGTCTCAGAGCAGAATTCCTGTCTCAGAGCAGAATTCCTGTCTCAGAGTAGAATTCCTGCCTCAGAGTAGAATTCCTGATTCAGAGCAGAATTCCTGTCTCAGAGTAGAATTCCTGCCTCATATAGCAGCATCCCTGTTTCTCAGAACACCATTCCTACCCCAGAGCATCATCCTTGTCTCAGAGCAGAATTCCTGTCCCTCAAAGCACCATCCCAGCCTCTCAGAGCAGAATTCCTGTCCCTCAAAGCACCATCCCAGCCTCTCAGAGCCGTTGTCCAGCCTCTCCTCCGTGCCAGGCCGAGTCCCTGGTGCTGAGCAGTGTTTCATAACCACCCAGACCTGGAGTCAGAACCCTCTGCAATGCATCAGGACTGCAGCTCCTGCCCCCAGCACTCAGTGCCTCCAGCACCATCCCTGTGGCTCCACTCCACAACGTGCTTGTCCACAAGGTAAAAACGTGCATTTGTCCGGATTTACTGTCAGGAATCATCCCCAGCAGGAAATCTAAGCCTGCCCAATGTGCTCTTTTGTCACCAAAGGCCCACAAGTACCTTGTACCAGAACATTCACAGTTACAGAGCACAAAGGAAGCAGCAGCCACGTCCAATGAACACGGAGTTCTCCTCCAGCATGATGGGATGACCTTGTTCTGCACAGCTTCAGAGAAAACATTCTGCCATTCTGCCCCTCTCCCCTTCCTGAGCATCACATCCGAGCCCATTCCTGATCCTGCCACATCCATGGAGGAGGTCACTGATGTTTACTGCCGGTCCCTCACCTCCCTGCAGGAAATTCGGGACTCTGGGCTGACCTGGGAGCCTGGACCTTTATCTTCAGTCAAATGGATTGTTCCTTCAGACTGCCTGGCAGCTCGAGGGGCTGGAGAGCTGAGGCAAACAAGCAGGCAGTGATGGAGATGATAAACACCACTGAAGTGTTTGCATTTGTCATCTGTTTACAACCCATGTGACAGGATTAACCTGGCAGCTGAGCTGGATCTGCTGCTACCATCCCTGATGGAGCTCAGCAGGCAAACAGCTCTGAGGCAGCTCCAAAGCTCCCAATTCCCCAGGAACACCCCCCAGTTTGGGGGAGCTCCCAATTCCCCAGGAACACCCCCCAGTTTGGGGGAGCTCCCAATTCCCCACGAACATCCCCCAGTTTGGGGAAAGTTTCTTTCTGATCAGCACCAAGTCCCATCCAGCTGTGGTTCCAGGGACAGGCTGTTCTGAGTTTGGGGGCAGAGCTGGCATTTTTGGTGGCTCTCCTGGTGTGCCTGTCAGGAGTTTGTCACTGAGGATATTCAGCAATGACATCTAGAAGGGCAGGGAAAGTCTCACTGAGGGAAGAGGCTCCAGAGGGACTGCACAAAGATTCCCAGGAGAGACAAGCAGATGGAAAGGGCAAGGGTTCATTCCCAACCAGGCTGGAAAAAAAGGAGGGAATGAACACAGAATCCTGGAATGGTTTGGGTTGGAAGGGACCTCAACAACCACCCCTGCCATGGACAGGGACACCTTCCACTGTCCCAGGCTGCTCCAAGCCCTGTCCAGCCTGGCCTTGGGCACATCCAGGGATGATGCTGGGTCTGGTGTGGCTCGAGACCTTGCAGTTCCTGCCTTTCTTATTAAAACTTCAATAGTTCAGCTCAGGGATAACTGCTGCTCCCTGGAAGAGGGAAGGGCAGGGTTTGGATCATCCCAAAGCTTGGAGGTGCTGGGTCCTGGCTGCAAGGATCCTGTGCTGGGCTCTGGGCTAGGGACTCTGCTCCTGCTGCACCCCAAAAAGGTGCCCTGGCCAAAAAGGGGGTGCACCTGGGAATGCTGAACCAGAATTCCAACCTGTCTGGAGAGCAGAAAAGCCCTTGGACATAAATGTCAATGTACAACTCAGTCACTTGGAAGTGTGTGAGGGGAAGGAAAGCTTCCTCTGACTGTGAAATGTTCCACCCAGAGCTGGCACTCACAGTATGGAATGAGACAGAAATAGCTGAACTATTTCTATGTACAAGCACAGGTTTGCATGGCAGAGATGATCCAGGATTGGCTCATGTCTCCATGCTCAATTCACGGTGTTTTGGGATGGGGAGGGAACGTGGGATGAATACTAATGATCATTTCCTTTTTAATTAACAGAGGTCCTGCTCCAGGATGTTACAACTGAGCCTCAGCTCACCCACAGGGCTTTGGCCCCTGGGCCTGGCACCTGAGCTGCTCCCCAGCCCCTCCTGCCACAGGTGCTGAACACACCTGAGCTGCTCTGGATCCTCTCCTGCCACAGGTGCTGAACACACCTGAGCTGCTCTGGATCCTCTCCTGCCCACAGGTGCTGCTCTGAGCACCTGCCCAGCCCCAGAGCTGGCTCTGCCTGACCTGTCACCCTTCAAGGGACAGAGCTGTCCCAGCCCCTGGCACAGCCCACTGGTGAATCCTGGTGCTCCCAGAGCTGCAGGAACCAGCCCTGCACTGCTGCAATGCATCAGGAGCTGAGAGCACCATTTTCCCCTAAGGGATATTATGTTCTTAGATAATGAGCAACAAATCTTCCACAGCTCAGGGAAAGGAATTTTTAAATGTCTGTGCTGGAGGTGTCGTTGTTTTTGGTTTGGGTTTTTTGTTTGTTTTTTTTGTTTGTTTGTTTTTTAAAGCCAGCACTGGCAGCTCTGTATGGTTGAGTTTATCCACACCAACAGCTGCTCCTGGAGGTAAAACTTCCCAAGGCTGTTCCCTCAGGACTGCCCCTGAGCCAGAGACATTTGCCTGGAATGGACAATTCCATGGAAAGATTCCAGTGCTAATGTGGTGAAAGCAGCTGCATTCCCAACATCTGTAACATCACAGGAGCACGGCCAGGCTGTCCTTGGCATTTCAGTGGAATCAGGAATACCTCCATGGAACACAGCACAAACCACCCTGAAATCTGCCTGATCATTTTTTAATCACGGGCCCTCCTGGCTGAGCAGTGAAGCTCATCCCTGTTTTAATTTCCAGGAAGCAGTGGGAGGGTTGGATGACCTCACTCATCATTAATTTCTACAACATCCTCTCAAAAAGTGTCACCCTCCTCCTGCCAAGGACTCTGCAGTGAGGGACAGCAGGAGCTGGGATGCTGGGAATTCAATTAAAAGAACACAAACCCCTGGAGCTGCCATTTCTCCAGTGAGTTTATTGCCACCAAACAATCTGAGAACTGTGCTGCTTCTCCTGCAGCCCTCACTCCTGGTGTGAGTTCCTGGGAATTTGGGAAGCCTTCCTGCCTTCCCTGTGCCCCTTGGTCCCCAAGCTGAGCCTGAGTCTGATCCCCTGAGCAGCTCCAGCCTGGCCTGGGACACTTCCAGGGCTGGGGCAGTGTCCCAACACTGCTGCTGTACAGGAGAGCACTAATGCCATGCATTTTTTACAGCTCTCCAGAGGGAAGGGGGATGCCTGTGCTGTTTTGTCAGCAGCAGGGCAGAGGCAGCTGGAGAAGGATTTCCTGGAGCTGCCCTGCCCCTGAGCCCTGGGCTGGCAGCACAGCATCGATCCAGCTCTGGAATTCCCTGCAACTGCTCCGTGCTCAGCTCCCTGAGCAGGGATTCCCTGAGCAGGGATTCCCTGCAGCCAAGCCCTGCTAATTTTAGCCTTGGCTGGGGGATTTTGCAGCCAGGCAGCAGCAGCAGCCACACATCAGCTCTGCTCGCTCCTGCCCCAGCTCCCACACCACAGAGATTTGCTCAGCTCCACTAACGAGCTCTGAATCAGCCCTGCCAGCAGCCTGGCTGATTAATCAGGGCAGACACAGCCAGCTCTGATCACTCAGCAAATATCAATAATTGATGAACATCCTGGGTGACGTCACCACGAGCAGCCCCCGGCACATCAGCCACCTGCTCCCCCTCCTGCTGGGGACCCAGAGCCACACAGACCCTGCCCAGGGACCCTGCGACACGCTGGGCACGTCCTGCACCTCCCCTCCCCGTGGCACAGTGCAATTTGTGACATTTATCAGAGACCCAGAAGGATTTGGGTTGGGCACAGCCCCTCCAGTGCCACCCCTGCCATGGCAGGGACACCTTCCCGCTGTCCCAGGCTGCTCCCAGCCCCATCCAACCTGGCCTGGGACAATTCCAGGGATCCAGGGGCAGCCACAGCTGTGCCAGGGCCTCCCCACCCTCACAGGCAAGAACTATTCCCATGGATCCAAATTAAATTTCCCCTTTTTTCTCTTTGGTTTATCTCTGCCATGATTCTGAGGCTGCTGGGAAAGACTCCCCAGCTTCTCCTTTCCACAGGATCTTTACAGCCCAGGGCTGTTACAAATAAAGCCCAGCCAAACCCACATCAGCTTTCTGCTCCATTTGGGACCTCCCACTCCAACCCTTCAGTCCAGGGATGCTTTGAAATCTCCCTGGAAAAGAGAGATTCCCAAATCCCCCCCACATCTGTGGCTGGGGGAGCTCAGAGAGGCTGGCAGGAAGGTTCCCTTCTCCCAGCAGGGTCTGTGCCTGCCCAGGGAGCACAGATCCCTCCCTGCATGGGCAGGGGATGGCAGGGCTGGAAGCAAAGCTTCCAGGAGCCACAGGGACCCAAAATCCCTCAAACCACAGCAAAACCCCAACCAAGCACCCTGAGGAGCTCCTGCCACCCCCTGAGCACAGGTAAGAGGAGCAGCACTCACCTCCCTGCTTGCTCCTGTCCAGGTAGATGGACACCCTTCGGGCCAGACCTGTGAGGAGACAGGGATCAGCAGGGTCAGGGTTAGCCAGAGCAAAACCCAGCTTAAAGCAGGGATTAGAAACAGCAACTCAACCTGGAGAACACGAAAGAGAAGCAGCAGCACCCAGAGCAGCACAGCAGTTTTGGGAGGGCAGCAGCCTGTGGGGAGCAGGACCTGGCTGGGTGGGAGCCCTGCAGGAGCCCCCCAGCCTCAGCTGGGCCCTGCTCTCCTCCAGCACAGGCAGACACCCAAGAGCTCCTGGGATGGGCACAGATGTGCCAAGGATCAGGGCCTGTGTGCCCACAGCCCACAGGGAACAGCCCCCCAGCCCAGCCCTGCCCTGCCCTCCCAGGGGAAATGTGGGAGCTCTGTGCCTGCCCTGGGCTGCCCCTGAGTGTCCATCTGTCCATCTGTCCATCCCCCACAACCCAGGGCTGCTTCTCAAACATCCAAACATTCAGGTGTGACACATTCCTCTCTCCTTTTGTAAGTAGGAAAATGGCCCTGCAAGTCAAGTCCTGGCCGTGTCCTGGCCGTTCTCAAGAGCAGTTCAGGGCTGAGGGTGACATCATGACACAGGGGAAAAGCTGGGACAGCAGGGAAGGGAATCAAGAGTGGCAGCAAACAAACTCCAGGAAAACTCCTGAGCTCTGCAGCTTCCAAGATGCATCCTCAGATTTGTGAGGCAGTGCTGGACCACAGCTGTGGCCTTGGCAGCAGATGACTCTGAAGACTCTCCTCTCCACAGGGACCTGCTCCACTTAGCTCTTTTCAAGTGGCTACACTCATTTCTCTGTCCACAAACAGATCTGTCCTTCTCTTCTGCCCAATCTGCTGGGAAGGTGGAAGGCAAAGAAAACTGGCCCCAGACTGCTTCAGTCCACAAGGGAAAGAAAAAGCAAAGGGGAGAAAAAAAACCCCAATCCAATGCTAAAGAGAATGGATTTAAAAGTTTCCCCAGTCCTGTTTTGGCAAATGGAACCACCCAGCTCTGAGAGCTGAGCCTGTTCTGCAGTGTCAGACACTGACAGTCCTTTCTGGGTGTTAATCCTGTCCTGTGACACTGACAGTCCTTTCTGGGTGTTAAATCCTGTCCTGTGACACTGACAGTCCTTTCTGGGTGTTAATCCTGTCCTGTGACACTGACAGTCCTTTCTGGGTGTTAATCCTGTCCAGAGTGAGGCACAACCAGCACAGTGCAGGTGGAAGGGAAGGCAGGACAGGGGGACTCCCTGCCCAGGAGCAGAGCCATGGCCAGGGCAGCCCAGGGACATTCCCAGCTCCCAGAAAACAGATCCTGAATCCAGGGATGGGAAACATCAAGCAGCAAAGCTGGTCTTTGTTGGCACAGAACTACAGAGTGACACCACAAAGGACAATTTGTCACAACTCCTGGGCCCTGCCTGCTCACAGCAGCCCCTCTGCTCCTGCTGCCACCTTGGGAAGGGCAGCCTGTGCCACTGGCACAGCAGGCTCTGAGCTTCCAGCAGCTCCTCATCAGCTCTGGGCACTGCCCTCACACAAAACACAGCTCCTGCTCCCTGAGAGGTGCCAGGGGAAAAACACACCAGGCAGCCCCAGGAAAATCCAATGAATAGCTGAAAGAGCTGTGTCAGGCTCCTGGGATGAAGCACAGCAGCTCAGAAATGAGAACTGTCAGCCTTTAAGGTCAGGATGAAGGATGATGGTCATCTCATGTGACCTCGTGCACAGCAGGGGCCAGGCAGCCTCCCCCATCAATCCACCAAGGATGGAAGCACAGCACACACAGAACAACCTGCAGCCCTGAGCAGAAACATCCAGGGACAGAGAACTGCCATCAGAGCATCAGCACCTGATGGGCTCTGGGAATGAGGGAACATCCACCTCCTGCAATGCTGTAAAACCTCCTTTAATATCCCAAAACCTCTTTTAATATCCCAAAACCTCCTTTAAATATCCCAAAACCTCCTTTAGTGTCCCAAAACCAGTAATGTCCTAAAAGAGATTTCAGGGTTACACACACTGGTTTTCTGGCTTCATCCCATGTGTGGCTGGATGCCAAGGCTCCTTTTTTACACCCTTTTCTGCCCAGCTTTCCAAACATTCCAAGCAGGCCAATGTCTCACTGTGCTGCCCTTCTGCACGGGCCAGATTTAGAGCACACGTCCCTCTGCCACCTCCTGACCCACAATGAACAGGGAGGAACAGGAGCCAAAATTGGAGCTGGGGCTAAAGGAGGTCACAGGCTCCTCCTGCAAAGCTGATTTTCACCCTCTCAACAGAAACCCCAGTGGGACCCACCTCGAGTGCTTGGCAGCATGTCTGACAGCCCCTGCCAGGCTGTCACCATCTCGGGGTTCTTCTCCAGGTCTGCAAAGTTCTTCCACACTCTGATGGCACCATCGTCTTGGGGGGCACAGAGAAAGAACACAAAGCAAAGTCACTGCTGGGGCAGCTCCTGCAGCTGCTTGTGCACGAGGAAGAGGAGGAGGAGCAGAGCTGAAGTCACACAGACCCCACATCTCAGAGTGTCACTCGAATGCTTTTTGTTGGAGTTGTTTTCCCTCTCTAATTTACATCCAAGAAACCTAAAGCTTTGTTCTACTGGAGCTGTTCTGGAAGAGTTTTTTTCTCCTCCCCTGAACAACACCTGACATTCAATGTCTCTCCATTTCCTTGACATTCATTTTCTGCAGGATTTATCTCTGGATTGGTGCCGAGGGCCACACAAGTACCCACTCAACACAAAGCAGCCCCACGGAAGCAGCAGCATCAAAGCCCAACCCATCAGCAGCAAATCTTTCAAGAACATCGTGTGTTTTTTTCAATTTGCTCCCCATCTGTGAAACTTTTGTGCTAAGAATCAATAAATTGAAAGAAATATGTCCTAAAGGCTCTCTCAGCTCCCCTTCCCCCTGCCTTCATTACAGCCAACCTGAGCAGGAATCTGGAGGAGCTGTTGAAAACACTCGGAGTGCAGGGTTGGAATGGTTCCCTGGGAGAGGAGCAGGTCTGGCTCAGCTTCCCAGAGCACAGAATGGGCAGGAGCTCCTCATGCAAACCCCTGGGGGCAGCTGGAGCTGCTCAGGTGAGGTGTGACCTGGAGAGGAACTCAGACCCACCTGAGAGCTTTGGGGCCGAGGCTGAGCCCTGCCTGCACACGAGCCCAGCACAGAACACAACTGCAGCTCCTGCACTTTGGCTGCTGCACAATTCCAGCTCTGGACAGCAGCTGTGACCAGCTCAAATCACCTTTCCCCAGGTGGGCCACAGGAGGGGGTGACCACAACAAGCAAAGACTCAGGTGGGAGTGGCTTCAGCAAGTGCTGGCCTGGTCAGTCCTTGGAAAATCCATCTGAGAGGTTTCAGTACAAGGAAGTGGAAATGGCTCTGAGCTGAGAGCAGGGAGGGCAGAGCCAGCCTGGGACCAAGCCATGGAGGGGACAGGTGCAGAGCAGCTCACCTGGACTGGAGCTGTGCCAAGGCCCTGCTGGAGGGACAGAGTCCCTTACCTGTGGCCGTGAGCAGCAGGGAGCAGTCCTGCCCGTTCAGGTACTCCATGGCCGTGATCCGCGTGTACCGAGGGTTCCCGTTGTGGAAATAATCCAACTTCTCCCCCTTCTCCCAGTCCCAGAAACTGGGCAGGAACAAACATGTGAGTGTTCAGTTCTCTGTGCAAGCTGTAGAGATGCACCCCTTTCCCTGTTTGGGATTTCTCCTTTGGAGTTTGGCATCGTTTGATTAATAACACATGGAATAATAATTGATTAATAATTCCGTGGAATCATGGAATGGTTTGGATTGGAACGACCTCAAATCCCATCCAGTGCCACCCCTGCCATGGCAGGGACACCTCCCACTGTCCCAGGTTATTCCAGCCTGGCCTGGGACACTGCCAGGGATCCAAATCTGGGCACCCTGTGCCAGCCTCCCAGGGCAGGATTTCAACACCTGCACCTCTGAGAGAGAGCCAGGACAAAGGTCCAGCTGTGCCCCCCGTGTCCCCAGCCCTCAGGAGATGCTGTCCCTGCTGTCCCCCCGTGTCCCCAGCCCTCGGGAGATGCTGTCCCTGCTGTCCCCCCCGTGTCCCCAGCCCTCACCAGATGCTGTCCTTGTCAGCCACAGCGATGCAGGGGGTGAAGGGGTGGAATTTCACCACGGAGGGCACGCCCGGGTTCCTGTTGAGGAAGATCTGATCGTCCAGCCTGGAGATGCCTGCGGGGACAGCACCAGCTCAGCATCCCCAGGGATGTCCCCAGGGATGGCCTGGACAGCCCCAGCTCCCCAGTGCCACAGCCCTGCCCAGCCCTTCCCTCCAGGCAGCAGCCTCAGGGCTTGAGGTGCACACCGAGGTGGGGACAAACCTTTCATCCTTCACACTGGCAAGCAAAGAGAACGAGCCCAGCCAAACCCAGGGAAATGCCAGGTTGTGTTGAGGGAAAAACCAACAGTATTCTTTCAAAATATAAAATATGAAAATGCCTTTTTTATTTTTTTGGGGGGTCAATTTAAAATACAGCATTTCACTGTAGCTTGTGGATTATTTATTTAACTTTCCATTTCAGTTCCCTTAAATTTGAGGTTAATTTGCAAATGAAAAATGTATTTTCCACAGAGACCTTAAAATGATGGGTAAAGACTTTTCCCATCTTGTTTTCAGAGCAGTTTGCTATTCACAAACAGTGCTGGGACCCCTGACACTGCTGGGTTTTGGCACTCTCTGAATTCATCACACAAACCCCCAAACCCAGGGGACATTCATTCAGCCTCAGTTTGTTTTAGAATGCATCAAATGCATTGAATCTAATTTTCATTAAAAGCTTGTAAGTCTATTTTAATTCTTTTTAATATTTCACGTTTTCATTATTTTTTTAATGAATAGTGGCATTTCAGTCACTCAGGTCAAGCAACCAAATATGAACACTGTCTAGAAAGAGATTTAACTTCTCCAGGCAAGCATGAAAAATCCCCTTCTTTGTATTCCATCAGATCTCCCAGGCCATCTCCTGGGCTCCAGGATCATTTCTGTATTTCCCTGCTCAATGATATTCTGCAGTTTCCCAGCATGAAGCTCCAAATGCACTCCCAGGAGCAGCCTCCCAGCGACAGGGCTGAGCCCTGGGCACTTTCCCCCAGCACACTGGGATTTCCAGCCCTGTGTGGCCCAAAAAGCCTCCTGGGGAGGAGCAGCTCCTGGAATGCCATGGGGAGGGCACCAGGAGCTCCTGGAATTGTGGCTCCCCAGCCTTTGCTGCTCAGGGAAAAACTGAGGAATGCAAATTCCTCAGGAAGCTTCATTAGGTTCCACTTGATTCGAAGAAATTCCTGTGCTGAGAGAATCCCAGCCCAAAGCTGCCTCAGAGAGCCCTAAAAGGTTCAGCCCCAGGGTCTTGGGGAGCTGAGGCTCGTTGGGAACAGCACACACCAACCACACACACAAATATTCCAAATAAAATGGGATACAAGGACTAAACAACCCCTTACAGAGCTCAGCGGAGCAGGGGACATCAGAGACATCCCTGAGGTGTCCCCTGAGCTGGGGGGGACAGGTCCAGCAGCTCCTTGGTCTGCCCTGAGCTCGTCTGGCCCACAGCAAACCCTGAGCTTGCAGCTCTGGAGTTACCCTGCAGCTCTGCACCTTCCATCCCCTCCAGAGCCGAGCAGGGACCAAGCCCAGCAGTTGAGAACAGAGAGCTGGGGGAGCAGGGAAACACCTGGAGCAGGGAAACACCTGGAGCAACAGGGAAACACCTGGAACAACAGGGAAACACCTGGAGCAACAGGGAAACACCTGGAGCAGGGAAACACCTGGAATAGGGAAACACCTGGAGCAACAGGGAAACACCTGGAATAGGGAAACACCTGGAGCAACAAGGAAACACCTGGAGCAGGGGAACACCTGGAGCAGTGACACACCTGCAGCAGCAGCTGCCCTGCACCAGGAGGGAACAGGCACCAGTGTGAGGGGCTGCAGGGGCCATCACTAATTAGGAGTGTGGCTAATTGGGCTCTGCAGCACGCTGGCAGCACTCACCCTTCTGGATGATTTTCTGCGCCTGTTTCCGGACGCGGGCGTTGCGCAGGAAGCGCCACTCGCGCTCCTTGCGGATCTGGCTCTCCAGGTCGTGCTCCTCGGGGATCTGCCAGGACAGGACACACACAAACACACACACAAACACTCAGCAGTGACCCCAGCCCTGCAGCAATCAGCTCAGCGATGCCACAGTGCCCCTGTCCCCTGTGACACTGCAGCCTGATCTCCGAGCGCGGATTTCTCTCTCTTAACTCTCCTCGGCTGAGCAGCATCACGTAGCAACCCCCAGCTGAAAGAGGGAGCTCAGCCCTGCTACAGCCAGCTCTGAGCACACTGAAATCTTTCTTTTCCTGCTAATCAGGGGCTGCTGGCCCAGCAGGGCATGGCTGCAATCCCAAATCCCCGGCATGTTCAGGTTTCCTCCACCACTGACAGGAGCAGCCCTGTTTTGGTTCCCTGCTCTCCAAAGCCTGCCCCTGTGTCACCCTGGCTTTCCTGATACACAAAATTCCCCCTGGAACGGGAGAGTGGCCCTGCAGTCACAGCCACTCTGAGCCATTTGCTGATATTTATTCCCACCCCACAGCTCCAGGTTTCAGCACTCCACGGCTCCCCTACAAAACCTGTGCTCCAGGCACCAGGCCAGGCTGGGACTCACAGCCCCCGGGTATTCCCACCCTCATTCAGAACACAGGATCAAAAGGAATAAACTCTTAAGATCTCACCCCAAACCATGGCAGGAGCTACATTTGAGGTGTTTTTCATGCTTAAAAAATTATCCAAGACTTCCCTGCTCCAGAACCATCCTTGGATCAACTACAGGGTTCTGATCCAGCTTCCTTTGATGCTGGTTGTTCCAAAGGAGTAACTCTTGGAGAAGGAAGACAAATTCCCCACAAACAAACGCTGTTTTCCCTGTATAAGAAAGTCCTTAAATCATCTGTCACTATTACAAACCCTGCTTTCAAACCATGCTATCCTTTGGAAAACAGCTGTTACTGAGCTGGACTTCTGCTTCTGTAAAATAAATTTTAAAAAAAGAAGCCCACCCTCCACCTTTCCTCTTGGCAAAGAAAAAAGCAGTTTATTTCAGCACAGCACCTATTAGACAGGCAATGACAAACGACCCCTAATGAAAAGCAATAAACAAACCTGAGCTAAAATACATCAAAGCAATCTGAAAGGGGAGAGATGACACCTACACCTTAATGAAAACCCAGCTTCTCAGGGAATAAATTAAATCAAGCCCAGGGAAGAGCCCTTGGACCACCAGTGCAGAGTCAGAGCACGCAGGTAAAGCTGCCCTGGCCCCCTCTGGGAATCATCCTGCCAGAAAAACACAAAACCCAGCTCTGCTCCCTGCCCTGGACATGCTCCAGCTGCAGGATGGGCATCACGACCCAGAGCTCCAGCCTGTCCCAGACAGGGAGCAGGAGCTCCTGAACCCCCCAGCAGAGTTTTCCTTGCTGAGCCAGGTCTGTCCCTGTCCCTGGGGGTGCCAGGAGGGGAGCAGGGAGCATTGGCACAAGGCTCCAGAGGTAAATCCAGCTCTCCCTGCTCACCATCCCTGCAGCTCTTGCAGGATCTCTCTCCTCTCCCAGGACTTGGACCCAGGGCCAAGGCTCAGTGCAGCAGCTCCTGATTTATCAGGGATTTATCAGCAAGGGCTGCTTATGTAATTCTCACCTTCCAGGATCCTTCCCAGCTCCTGCCTGCATGTTCTGCCAGCCCTGGAAATAACAGATGCTGGCTCCTCTCTCCTTGACTCAGGACTTCCTGACAGCTGGCACCGAGGCTTTCCTGCTCCCCGTGGCTCCCAGAACAGCCCTGAGCCACCAGGGACTGCAGGAGGAGGAAAAGCTTCTGCAGACACCAGAGCTGGCCTAGGGACCTGCTTTTCCTGGCACATGAAGAATTTACAGTGCAGAGTTTTCCTTCTCTGTTTATTTGATTAGATAATCAATAAATCAAACCTGGAATGATGGCTTGAAACGCAGCTCCTGATTTACACTGGAAATTAATCCCTCAGTCTTTCCAGTGAAAGCATTCTCAGGGCAAGGTCCATGAAGCAAAACTAAATTCATAAATTAAATATGACTAAGATGCACTCACAGTAATTTTATGTTTATTCATTACAGGAACAGTTGTCTTGTCTTTCCCTGTTTATGAAGGCAGGCAGCAGCTCCAAAAGAACGGCTGGAATTAAGCACCAATGTCACTTTTCCATCAGCACTTGGTACACTTCACTCTTTGCCTTTTTCATGAGGCTGAAGCTCCCAAAAGGCAGCAGGCACCAGGCAGGACTGTTCCCTGAACAGGGGCTCCATGGAAACTCAGGCAGCACCCGAGCTGCCAGCCCTGACTTCCAGCCAAGAAAGCTCAGGGAAAGTTGTCACAGAGGGAATTCTCCCTGTCCCTTGCACACACAGCCAGCCCAATCCCACAGGTACCTGTAACTCCCTGCTAGGACAGAATAACCCCTGCAGAAACTCCCTCTCCTTGGCCTTTCCAAGCTGCTTTGCAGAAGTACCAGGGAAATCGATTGTGTGATTGGAAAACACAGATTTGGTTCTGTTCAAGCTTCACCCTGGCTGGTGAGGAGAGCTCCTGCTCAGGCAGGGGGAACTGGCAGCCCCAGAGGCTCAGGGAGCCAGGGCTGTGCCCTGTTCCTGCTCCCTGGGACTGCAGGACAGCCCCTCCCCATGGCTCCCCTCGGGAATTATCACAGCAATGCTTCACCTCTTCCACTGCCTCCCCCAAAGCCTTTTCGTCTATTTTATGTGCAGGAAGTTGTGGTAAAGGCACTCCCACACAGAGCTCCCCATGTCCCCACTGCCCCTGCCCGTGCCTGGCTGCCTACTCTGATTAATTTTATTAATAAAGACCCCCCCTCCTTCCTGGGAAGAGGTTTTCTTAGGGAGCAGACAAATGATTTTAATAAGAACGAAGAGCCCAAACATCATCTTCCTCCTCTTGTGCTCTGGGCTTGAATCAAGACCCTGAAGCTCATGTGGAGGAGAAAGAGCCCTGGTGGGAGCCTGGCCAGGCAGCCCAGCCCCACATCCCAGATGTGCCCTAAGGAATCACTGGCTGGTTCCAGCACAAAGGGAATTTCACAGCAGCTGAGGAAGTGTCAGGAAATCACTTCATTGGTGATTCCCTCTGGAAATCAAGAGCCTGTCCAGCTCTCATTTCCTTAAACTTGGGCAATTCCCTCCCCCCGGCTCCTGAACATTCCAGGAGTGTGGTGGTGATGGCTCAGCCCCAGCTCCCCGAGAGGCAGCACTAAAACCACATCATTTCCTCACCATTTCCTCATTCTCACCACCTCACATCCACTGTGGAGAGGCATCAGTGCAGCCTGGCCATTGTCCCTGGCAGGCACAGCAATCCCTCCAAGAGATGGAGCTCCAAGCCCTGGCACCTCCGGGCTCCCTGAGCCTCCCAGGGCACCTGCGAGTTCCCTTTAATGAGGGAGATTTACTGCTCCTCCTGGTTCATACTTCAACCTGAAACCTGAGCTTTGCCTGAAACATTCTGGGAATTTAACAGCTAAAACATTCTGGGAATTTAACAGCTAAAATATTCTGGGAATTTAACAGCTTCTCTTTCCAGTCATTGATGTCTTTGCCCATCTCTTAACAGCTCTGGCTTGAGTTTCACCTGGAAGAAGGTTTCAGTTTCTCTTTCATTTCACACAGAGACAACTTAGCTCCCCAAACAAGTCACTTCTGAAGAGACCTAGATGCAAATTTGTCATTACCACCCTCATTCTTCACTATAACACAACTTCTTATTTTTTTTAAACTTTAAAACCCAACAGTAACGCTGCCCAAGCTTCCCCCAGGCACACGTGGGCATCCAGCCACTCTGACTTTGTCCCCTGTAAGTTCAGGGAGTGTGTGCTGGAAGCAGCTCCCAGACCCCACCTGAGCACAACAGGGTCTGTCCTGCTGCCACCACGGCCTCTCCCAGGGCAGCCTCAGAATCCCCTCAGCTGGAATGTCACAAAGAAAACAGCATCTCTCTTTCTCCAGCCCCCCACTACCCTTTCTGGGGAAAAGGGCCTTCCTTATTCCACGTGTTTATTTTAAAAACCAGTTCATTTTAGCTACAATGCAATTTTCTATATGCAGAGCAGCACAACTTTTCAGATGGAACAACTCTGCAGTGCAACCAGGCAGAACTGGGGGATCTGGATCCAGAACCTCTCCTCATTCCTACATTTTTTGTGGATTGTGCTCCACGGGAAGCTGAGTTTTTTCCCTGGGCTCTCTGTGCCCCCCTCACTGACCCTTCTGCTCCCTCTGGTCCTGACAGCAGCCCCACAGCTCCCCAGAGCAGCAGCATGGAAGCAAACCCATTCATTGCCGAGGGCAGGGAGGAGAAGGGAGAAGGGCAGGGCTGGCAGGGCCGTGCCCAGGGGCCAGCACAGCCCCAGGGTTACCTTCATGACGGGCTGGGCAAAGTACTTGGCACTCCAGTCACAGAAACCCGTCTGCACCGCGGCCGAGATGAAGCTCTTGTGTCCCACGGCATCATCAGCATCATCAGCTGTCTGTGGGGAGGGGACAGGGCTCAGCCACTGCAGGGCCAGGGACAGCCAGGGACAGCCCGGGGACATCCCCAGGGACAGCCCCACTGCCCCAGCCAGGCACCAAAACCCTCAAACACAGTGCCCAGGGCAGGAAACGCTGCACACCCAGCCCTGGGGTCAGGTGTGACAGTCACAGCTCTGGGGTCAGGTGTGACAGTCACACCCAGCTCTGGGGTCAGGTGTGACAGTCACAGCTCTGAGTTCAGGTGTGACAGTCACACCCAGCCCTGGGGTCACTCCTTGGGAAGGGACACATTCCCTCATCCCCTCATCTGCAGGGATGTGGGTGGAGCAGCCCCACGGAGCCTCAGGGGGAGCTCTGTCCCAGGGATGTGGCTGGGGAGCAGCGAGGGTGACTCAGGATCCAGACACAGCCCGTGCCAAGGTGGGTGTGGGTGAGTGTCTGTCACACAGGACACCCCGAGGGAAAAGGGAAAAGCTGCTCCCTTCCCTTTCAGAAACAAAGCCCAGAGAAGAGAAGGGAAGGTGTTCACTTTCTCCTTGTGATCACAGCTGTCCCTTGTCCCTGCTGTGCCCGGAGAGCAGAGCAGCCCCCAGGGTCGGGGACCTGACTCTGGGTTGTCACTCTGGGTTGTCACACGAATGTTCACAGAGGAGTAAGCCACGGACTCTGATTAGACACATTGCTTAGTGGCAGAAGTGAATAATGCCCTATCAAAAGCTATAAACCACAATTTATCCTGAAGAAAATAAATTAATCCATTTTTATTTGGCCGCTTAGAGGCAGCCACTCTGGATTAGCAGCAGCTGGAAGCAGACGAGGGGACGCACAGAAATAAACCACGACCGACAGAAAGTGGGACAAAGCCCAGCGGGGAGGAGCTGCCAGGGAAGTTCTCCTCACCTGCTCTGGGCCTTTGTCGAACATTTTCCTGGTCCTGGGGAACTGGTGCGAGTGGGGGGTGTACTGGACGGCCACGCTGGTGGCGCTGGGGCGCACGGCCCCCAGCTCACGGCTCACGGGCTGCTTGGGCACCTCGCTGGTCAGGCTGGAGCTGCTCGTGCTGGTGGTGGGAGGCGACCCCCTGAGGGACAGAGCAGAACACAGGGACAGGCTCTGGGTATCACTGGACACGAGGTTTGTGTGTGCACTGCCGGCTTTTCACGTGGTTCCCTTCTGACAGGGTTTGTTTTCTCACTGTGGTGCCTCCTCTGCAGGAATGTCACGATTCCCACGTCCCCTCCAAAGGCCAAACCCACCCCAAAGCAAGAGGGAACTCTGACTGTGCCCACCCCAGACTGAGGGGATGAACCCTAATGTTCTGGGAACCTGTGATGCCTGACCTAACTCACCCTGACTGGGGACTGCATTTCCATGGGGGGACTGAAGCCTCAAACCATGGGAATTTAAACGGGGCCCTCTGTTCCAGCTTGGAATCTTACAGGTCTAATGTGTGGTGTTCTCTCTTGGAGAGGAGTTTTGGGAAATAATCCCATTTTCAGCCCCCAGCACTCTCAGTTTCCCTGCAGCTCAGGCAGGGTGTGCTGTCCATCACTTAACCCCGGCTTTTATCAGCTCCAAGTGCAGCAGGCACAGCTCAGACGTCAGTGGGAATTTGGGCAGCACAGCTCAGGGAAGGTAAAAGCAGCCAAAGTCAGCTCCTCAGCTCACCCTTACATACCCAGTGGGGCTTGTTACTCTTTGCCCTAAAGGAAAACAGGAAGGAACTCCCCACCTTTTCCCAGAGCTTTCCACCCACTCCACTTCTCCAACCTCCCCACTGCTGACTGCAGGAGCCACATTCCTGTCCCTGGGGCAGCTCCCGGGGATGGGGCTGGGCAGGGAGCACCCAGCCCAGCCACAGAAGGTGCTGGAAGGCCAGGCTGGACTTACCCCACTTGGTGGATGTGCATGCCCTTGTTGGTGGGGCTGGCAGGGGCAGACTGGGTCAGCGAGGAGGTGTCCAGGATGCGCTGGGGGCGAGCATTGACCGTGGCCTGGGGAGAACACAGGAGCCTGAGCAGTGGCCACGGCCCCAGCACGGCCAGCCCGGGGCAGGGAGGGCTCTCTGGGGGCTCTGGGCTCACACAAAGCCCCTGGGCTGCTCCCAGCACCAATGGTTCCACTGCTGGCTTTGGCACCAACACTTACCCGAGAGTTCTGAGCTCTGAGCAGAGGCAGCTGCAGGCAGGACCTGCCCCTGCACCCCAAACACAGGGCAGGGGGACAGCCTGGGGTCCCCTCAGCTGCCCAGTGTCCCCCAAAGCCACCAGCCCTGCCCTCACACCTCCTGCAGCTCCCATAACCCGCAGGATTTGTGACCAGAAATCATAAAGCACGTTCTGGGCCTGCAGAAAAGGAGGCTCAGGGGGAACTTCTGGCTCTGCACAGCTCCCTGACAGGAGGGGACAGCTGGAGGGGTCAGGCTCTGCTCCCTGGGGACAACAGGACAAGAGGAAATGGCCTCAAGTTGTGCCAGGGGAGGTTTAGGTTGGGTGTTGGGAAAATTCCTTCCCTGAAAGGGCTGTGCAGCCCTGGCACAGCCGGGGGGAGTCCCCTGGGGGGATTTAATTTAACAGCCCCGTGGATGTGGCACTGGGGGACATGGTCAGTGGTGGCCCTGGCAGTGCTGGGCTCAGAGGGCTTTTCCAGCCTCAGTGATTCTGTGATTCAGCCTCAAATCTTCCATTAAAAACACCTGGGCAAAGCAGCCTGGGCTGAAGCAAACTTCCCTCTTAAAGCTTTTTGATTTACACAAAGTCTCTCGAGGCCAACACTGAACCCTGGGTCCTTGCTGTTTGTTTTGGTGCTCACAAAAAAGCAGCTCTGGGCGATTTCCAAGGCTCAGGCCAGGAAGGAGAACTGCACCATTGCCATCTGCATCACCCACATAAATCCCAAGGCAGCCTGAGCCTGGGGGAGGCCCAGCAGTGCCTAATGAGCCCAGGGACAGAGCAGCAGCAGATTCCCTGCAGGAAGGAGCCCAGGGACAGAGCAGCAGCAGATTCCCTGCAGGAAGGAGCCCAGGGACAGAGCAGCAGCAGATTCCCTGCCCTCCCTGCAGCCCACACACCGGCTGCTCACAGCCAGCACAGCCCAGAGCCACGAGCCCTTCTGCAGAAACACATCCACAGCCCCGGCTCCAGGAAAAACCTGAGCAGGACACTCTGCTCTGGTTTGGTAACACCAATCCCAGAATCCCAGAGCAGTGGGGTTGGAAGGGACCTCTGGGGATCAGCCAGGTCACCCCCCCTGGCAAGGCAGGGCCACCTGGAGCAGTGGCACAGGAATGTGTCCAGAGGGGCTGGGCTGGGTGGGACATTGAGAAGAAATTGTCCCCTGTGAGGGTGGGCAGGCCCTGGCACAGCTGTGGCTGCCCCTGGATCTGTCCCAGGCCAGGCTGGACAGGGCTTGGATCATCCTGGGACAGTGGCAGATGCCCCAGCCATGGCAGGGGCTGGGATGGGTCCCTTCCCACCCAACCCACTCCATGGTTCTGCAATATTGAGTGCCCCAGCCCTCTCCAGATGTTTGGACAGCTTGCCCAGATGTTCCCACTGAAGCCCCCAGCCAGGTCCCCCAGACTGCAGAGTTCTGCTCAGCTGTGCCAGTGGAAGAAAACCTCAGCTGGCCCAGCTCCAAAATGAAGCCTCTCCTTCCCTGAATTTTGCAGTAATTAAACCAAAATATTAAACCCCTGGAAGATTCAAGTGCTCTGCATCACCTGAGGCAGTATTTTTGTTTAAGCAAGAAAAACAATTTTTTGTTTGCTGGTTCACTGGTAAAATCCAACCCCCGAGCCTGCACACACTGGGGAGGAGCAGTGCCCACGTCCAGCACTCCCTTCTACATCCAAGAAGCTCCATCAGCACCAAGGAAAGGTCCCAGGCCACAGTCAGCAAAGACTGGATTGTCACGGGTTTGCATCAGCCCCTGCCTGGTGCTGCAGCAGGAGCAGGCAGGGCCAGCCAGGCTCAGTGTGCTGGGCAGTTCCCAGCCCGGCTGTTCGTGTTTTATGGCGTTGTTTGAATTAAAAAGCCTCGTCAGGAGCCACCCAGGGCAGGTGGTGCTGGCCAAAGCAGAGCCCCCACATGCACAGCAGGAAGCCAGGACTGAGCACTGTCCCTGTGGCTCCTGGGCTAAGGCACACAGCACATCAGTTCTGTTCACTGAAGCATCCCCAGATAAACCCCCTGGAAATGGGAATGCTTCCTGTTCTCCCAGGCTGCTGGAAGAGCTGTGCCTTAGGAAGCAGGGGCAGAGCAGCTGGCCCAGCTGGGCAGGGGGAGATGCAGAGACCCAGCACCTGAGCTTGGGACTTGGCTCAGCACAGCCAGGCCCAAACTGGGCAGAGCCAACACAAATTGCCCCCAGCATTCCCTAGGGATGTGACAACAGAATGACCACAATTCCTGCTGGCACAGCAGCATCAATATCAATATTGATACTGATCCACCTCCCCACTGGCCAGGGAGAACTCCTGAGAACACATTTCAGTCAGGAAAAGCAGATCTGGTTCCTCTTTGTATCCCTTCAAATAGCAGGAGCAACATTTCATTTTGCAAAGGGCCTTCCAAACACAGAACTGAAACAGTTTCATGCATCTAGAGCAGAGAGAGGGAAATCTTCCACCTTCTCCTTTCCTTCTTCCCCTCATCTGGCATCTCCAGCTGTCATTTGTGGCACCCCTGTCTCAGCAGGGAGGGGCTGAGCCCGCTGCCCCCACTGCCAGGAGAATTCCCTGTGCCAAGCCCAGCCCTTGGCACTCACTGGCACGTGCACTTCAAACACATCAGAGCTCAAGTCAGTAACTATTGTCTCAAGAGAAAACGTGATTTCAAAGCAGGGGTCTCTGAGGCGTTGGGATGGCAGTGCACAATGCTGGCATCTCTTACTGCAGCCCCAGGCTGAGGCTCTGGGGTCATTCCCTGGAAAGGCCCAGTAAGAGAATTCCCGTTGCAATGGCTCATGGGCTGGATGCTTGAGTGGCCAGAAAGGTTCACACAGAACCTTCTGTGCCCAGCCAGGGGTGAGAAGATGCCCTGGGGTGGCCTGGCCCGGGCAGGGGGAAGGTGCTGCCCCGGGGTGGCACCTCCAGGGCCATCTTGTCACCCCCAGGATGAGATGGGATGAGGATGGAGGTTTAGGCACCCAGCCTGGGCTGGGGTGAGCAGTGGCAGGGTCTGCATGCTGACTCACATGTACTAGTTCACCTGGGTTGGAGAGCCGTTGTGGCTTCAGTCTGCAGGCCAGTCCCACTTGCATTATCTAAATCGGTTTGCAAACGGATAATTTAATGAAGGATACTTCAGGTTTATCCCAGGGACTGATCTAGACAAGTAGACTTCTAAACCAGACCTCCTGTCCGAGGTCTGCACCTAATTCATACCCTGAAACAACCCCAGGCCCTCCCCCATTTGTTGATTTTACCTGGTCAGAGTTCAGAGCAGAGTTTATCGTGGGGAAGCATTAAAAGCTCCTTGTGCAAAAGGCAGAGCCCTCCACCAGACCCATCCAGGTCAGCCTGCCTAAGCCTTGCCTAAGCATGAACAAATCCACATCCAAAGGCCTGGCAGGCACAGGTGAGCAGGGACAGGCACATACCTTGTAGGCAATGCTGTTGAGAACCTTCATGGCCAGGTCAGACACGTCGGGATAGGGGTCAGCAGCCAGGTGAAGGAGCACTCTCCAAATTTGGGTATAAACACTGTTGAAACTCACACCTAGAATAACAAAAAAACACAACAAACCCCAAAGCCCTGCAGCACATGACAATCCATCAACTCCAATTCTTTGATCTGATGTGAGAAAATTCATTAGAACTCCAAACAACCTGATGACATCTCAGGGAACATCAAGAGAGGAGCTCAAAAACATCCCACGTGGGCATTTTGTCTCCCTTTTGCCTGTCTGTGAACTCTGCAAGAGCTTGTGAAATCGAAGTGGGAGGAAGCAAAATAAATTAAAGACTCCCTAAATCATCTCCAGTCCAACTCCTGCTTTTCCTGAAGCAAATCACCTGGAAAGGCCAAGTGGATAATGTCTGGCTTTCCTGAGTTGAAATACTTCATGGTATAAACCCACAGCTGCTGCCCTACACTGTACTGGTTATTTTTATTGAATTTTTCAGGGGTTTGCACACTCTACAAGTTCACTGAATGTTTAAGGCAGAGCTTTAGGAGCTGAGCCCTCAGGAACTCAGCCTCTCCTATTGACATTTGTATCAATTCCTCCAATTTGTTATTTAATGAGCAGATCAGCTGTTCGGTATCTCAGCAGAAGGGGCTGACAGATTCAAAGTACAAATCAAATTAATAAGCATTTGCAACAACTGACAGACTCCTGTGAACATTTTATTTTGCTGCTTTTGGGTGAGAATTTGTTATTGTGCCTGCGAGCCCTGCCCGTGTCTGATCGTGCAACGCCCCGGCTGGGAGTGCAGCCATTTGGACAATGCTAAAGTGGCTGCACCAACAACAAAAAAAGAGCTAAAATAGAGATTTCACATGAGTCACAATCAGTGCTAAATGACAGATCAAGCTGTTACTGCTTTTCCTCCCGTGTTTCTGGAGGAATCTAAATAGAAAGTTGGGAGGAAAGGGTCCCTTGGTCACCAAGCAGCTCCTGACCTGGCAGAGCTGAAGCTCGACTCTAAAGCAGCAGAGCAGGCTGGGACACAGCTCTGAGCATGCAGGCTGCCCCTGGGGGGCTGCTCTGACGGGGGAGCCTTCCTCTGCCCCAGGTGCCCAGACTGTGGCCAGACAAACCCCTCTGCAAAGGGCCAGGGCAGCCCCCAGCAGCCAGCCCCTCCCTGTCCCCTCCTGCACAGGTCTCTGGCACCTGGCAGCCAAAGGATGCTCCAAGTGACTCCTGCTTACACTGGCACCTGGAAATCTCACAAGTGTTTATGAAGGGAGCACCTGCACCGTGCTGTTCCTGGGCTGACCCACACAGATCCTGCAGCTGATCCCGACCCTCCCAAAGCCAGGGACAGGGCCTGACAAACCAGAGAACCCCACGTGCCTTGGGGGGACCTTAAAGCCCATCCTGTGCCACCCCCTGCCATGGGCAGGGACACCTCCCATTGTCCCAGGTTATTCCAGCCTGGCCTGGGACACTGCCAGGGATCCAGGGGCAGGCACAGCTGCTCTGGGCAACCTGTGCCACCCTCCCAGGGAAGAATTCCTCCCCAGTATCCCATGGAACCCTGCCCTCTGCAGTGGGAAGCCACTCCCTGTGTCCTTGTGTAAATCCCCTCTCCAGTTCTCTCGGAGCCCCTTTAGGCACTGGCAAGGCTGTAAAACCTCTAACGATGCAAATCGTTCTAAGGCTGTAAATTGTAAAGGCTGTAAACATATATTTATGTAATATTGTCTAATATTTATATAATACAGTAAAATTGCAAAGGCTGTAAACATATAACAATGTTAAATCCTGGAAGCTTCTATTACCAAGGAAAGAAAAACTGGAGGGGGAAGGATAAAGAACAAGAAGGGAGAGAGGCAAAGTGCTACAAGGTGTGGGAGGAAAAAAGGCTCAGCTCGTGAAGCAGCAGCCAGGTAATGTCTGAGGTGTGCCCAGAGCTCTGCCTCCCACACTCCAGCCTCTTACATAAGGGCCAGTGGGAAATCTGGATGCCTTCAATTCTTTAAAGCCCTTGAAAGAGAGTAAAAGCAAAGGGAGAGGAGAAGAGTGAGGGGGGCACCCAGCTGATTTCCCAGAGGCTCTGGTAACCACCTCCATCACGGAGGAAGAAACCCAAAGACATTTTTTATACATCTAAGTGTCAGGGAAAAACCAAATTTTAAGCAGAACTGTGGCAATGCAATTCCCCCTTCACCTGGCAGCCTTTGAGCAGAACCCAGGGAATTTCTACAAAGGCACCTGTAGGAAAGGGCAGCTTTTCAGGGCTGCTCTTTCCTGCTGCCCCACTGTCAGTGCAGGAGTGGCACATGTGACACAGCTCCCTGTCAGCTCCTGTGCCTGCATAAGGAGCAGCAGAGGCAGCAGGAGGAACAGCAGCTCCATTTCTCCTTTAGGATCCAATGCCCTGGGCTGGGCATTCATGGAAGCAGACAGCTCTGGAATTAGTCACACCCACTCCCAGCCAGTCCAGTGCACCTTGCAGTGTGCACTCACGTTTACAAAGGGATCCCTCTCTGCTAAGAATGTCAAAAATAAATCGCCTGCCTTTCCCCCAGTTGGGTTTTCCCTGCACACCTGGGGTTCAGTTGGTGGGCCAGGCTCCTGCAGCTCCAGGGAGAGCCACAGTGGATGCAAACCTGAGTGCTGATGCCTTTATTTATTCCCTTTGATTTGCCAGCCTGGGACAGGGTTTCTTTCCAACCCCCTGTAAAAATCACTGCAGTGATTTCAAGGCCTGACCTCCAGAGATGGAGCAGTTCCACTTCCCACAGCAAAACCAGAGCTGTGGCTGCTCCCTGCTCACCTGGGAACTGGGACCTCAGACAGGGACACAGGGACAGGGAATGGGACATTCAGACAGGGACACAGGGAATGGGAATGGGACATTCAGACAGGGACACAGGGACAGGGAATGGGACATCCTGGGAAATGGCAAACAGTTCTCCACCCCCAGCCTCTCCTGCTGGAAAAGACAACAATTCCCCAGCATTTCATGGCTCCAAGATTTATTTTCCTCCTTCTTTGATCACTCCTGAAGATAATCTTCCCAGTGCAGCTCTCTGTAGGACAAAGGCTTTCATCGTGCACTTTGGATATGAATAATCAGCCTCGAGGTATGCAAACCCCCATCTTCACTCCATCCCTTTTCCTATCTTCAAAATGAACATTTCCAGGACACCAAGATTAATGAGTGGCTGTATGGAAAAGCAGCAAGGCTCAGCTTCCCTTCCAAAATGATGTCTTTGTTGACTAACCACAAAGTGCCTCTTGCCAGCTGGAAAACTGGGCCAGCAATAAATGCCTCTCCTGGTACTGGCCTGTCTGGCCAAGGAGCAGCTGCCAGGGAACAGAGCTGGGCTGAGAGCGAGTCTTGGTGCATTTGGGGAGCCACAATGGGGACATGTGGCCCACAGCTAGCTAAGGAACTGTTTGGAAAATGGGCCAAGGAGGAGTGGAGAGGTTCTCACCAAGTTTTTGGGAAGAAGGATGCTGGATGATGCCCCAGTGCAGAGACTGATCCAGAACAACCCCTCACATGCCAAGTTCCCAAAACTGCCAGAGAGGAACAAAGACCTGAGCACCAGCAGGTTGTGGCTGCTCCTGGATCCCTGGCAGTGTCCCAGGCCAGCCTGGACAGGGCTTGGAGCAGCCTGGAATCCTGGAAAGTGTCCCTGCCCATGGCAGGGGTGGCACTGGATGGGATTTAGGGTCCCTCCCAACCCAAACCATTCTGGAATTCTGTGACCAGTGAATCAGCTCAGGGAATGCAGAGCACACAACACAAACTGTGGCTGAAAATGTCTCCTTTCACTCTTGGAGATTTCTGCTTCACTTGGAGTCTCCTCACATACCCCAAAGATCTTTTTCACTGCTCTGGCTGTCTCAGATGCTTGGCAGAGGCGTTGCTGCAGAGCCAGAGCCCCATTTCCTCCTTAGCAGACACAGAGCAGAGCCCAGCACTCCTTCAAGGTCAGGTCTGTGCCCCACTGGGCTCCCCCAGCTCCCTGCAGCAGCAGCTTGGGGCACATGGGGACATCCAGGAGCGGGGTCAGAGCTCTGGGGGTGGCTGGGGCTGGTGGCACCTCTCCTGGGCAGCAGGAGACAGGCCTGGAGGATGGAGATGCTCCAGCAGGAATGAGAAAAGCCTGGCTTGCAGCAGGCAAATGGGGAGCTAATGGGATTCTGTGCGAGTCATGAATTTTAAACACTTCTCTGAGCTCAGTGTTTCCAGCTGGGTCTGAGCTCTTTGATGGAACAGGAGCGAGGGAGGCCTTGGAGAGCTGCTCTCCCTTTCCAAGGTTCCCCTCAGCACCTCCAGCTCCTCTCCAGAGCCTTTTCCAGCCGTGCTGCACAGCTCTTGTGAGACACACACACAGCAGCCACCAGCCACACACCGGGGGAAAGGGAAAACTCAGCTCCTAGCTCAAGATGGAGAGAAATTTCCTAACGTCCCTGCCATGCTTCAGAAGATCCAGTGTCATTACTGATAATCAAAAGCAAATTAACTGATCAAGTTCCTAATGAACTCATGATTTTAAACTGCCACAGGGGCTCAGTAATTACAATATCTGAATCTTTCAACTCGGGAGAGCCAAATCACCATTAATTCTCCTAGAAAACAGAGAGAGAAAATGTTTCTTTGGTCAAGGCAGTTAATCACCCAGGCGATTTCTCCCTGAGTTACTCTCTCAGCACTGATTTGTGAAAATATGGGCCCATTTACTGATTAGAGAGGAAATACAGAGACTTCCCCAGCATTTCCCTGAGCATGCTGCTTTCCCTGGAAGGAGGCCATTCCAAAAGCCAGGTCCTTCTGCATGGTGCCTGTGATGTCGTGCCAAAATGGCTCAGATTGTTTGAAAAGCTACAGGTTAAAGCTTAAAGCAACAGCTTAAAGCAACAGCTTAAAGCAAAGCTGTTGTGGCCCCCACATTCTTGTGCCTGAATTCCTCCCGGGACTGCAGTGAAGCTGAGAGCTGGAGCCAGGAGCTCCCACTGGAGTGACCCAGCCACACACAGCAGGGAATTCTGCTGGGGCCAGGACCCCAACATTGCACACAGGTAAAGGGGGGGGCCCGGGGGCTGTGCTCACTCACCTATGAGGGAGTTGAGGGAGGAGTAGGAGCTGACTCTCCTCATCTTGTCGATGGTCTCGAAGGACAGGATGTACTCCTCGTTCTCGGGGCTGCCCAGGGTGCTGCTGGCACTGCTGCTCGTGCTCAGGTTCCCAGGGGAGAACGCCACAGAGCTGCCAGCTGCCAGGACAGAACAGCACAAGCTGCAAGGGGCTGGGCAGAGAACAATCCACAGCCACACACACAGCAGCCCTCTCCTAAATCCTGCCCCTCACCCAGGGGGCAAAGCCGCAATTCCCCTTTTTAATACCGAGTGATTAAACACAGAACAGGCAAAAGATTGACTTAAAAACCCACTTATGCTTGGAAGCTCGAAGGCACATTTCCAGTCCCCCAAACACTCGGAGAAAAAAAAATCAACGCTAACGACCAGAAAATTGCTCCTAATTACGGAGTGAGCTCCATCATCCAAACCCTGGGCGCCGAACGCTTTGAGCTGCGGCGTGGAGGGGTTTTTTTTGGGGGTGGGTGGGGGTTGCCTTACACTCCTCGTTGAGGCTGAGGTTCTGCAGGGATTTGTTGAGGCTGCGGGCAGAGGTGACGGCGCGGATGTTGCCGTAGGAGCTGACGGAGCGCAGGCGGGGCGTGCACGGCGCCTCCCGCACCGGGGTCAGGCTGCCCTCGGCCGGGCAGCACGGCCCGCTCAGAGCTGCAAGAGGGGGAACGGCAAAAAAAAATAAAAAACACACANAAAAAAAAAAAAAAAGAGCCGGAGAACAGAGCTCGGTTAGAAGCCGGCTGGTGAGATCACTGAGAAAAGGTTGGTGCTTGTGATAATTGATGGAAGATTCGTGTTAGTCACAAAAGCGTTAGGGTTTGTATAAACCAGAATACTAAGGTCTGAAGTGAAGCATGGACACTGGATAAAGGAAATTATATGATACAATAAATCTGTTTAAAACCACCTTGTATGTTGTATTATGTTACATTATAATATGTTATGTTATGGTTTTCAAATAAGTTGTATCGACTATCAGCTTGCAAAATCAGACTTCCCAAAAAGCCCTTCCTGCCTTTGTCTGATCAATACTGATCAATGATTTTCCAATAGCCCTTCCTGCCTTTGTCTGATCAATGCTGCCTATCCCAAAAACCAGACTCCCAGAACTTCTCTGGTGCTTCTCTACAAGGCCCAGATGGCTGTGACTGATTATCACCCAAAGGCTTTGTGAATTTGTGTAAGGATTTTTATCCAACCACCACTGCTTATGACAACAAAAATCCAAAAATTATAGATTCCAATGAGAACCCACAGTGTAAGAAGAGGCTGCAAACCAAGGTTCAGTGGAGCGTGGTGTGGGCAGTGACCCCTCACATTCCCCAGCACTGCCTGATCCCTCTGTATCAAATAAAGCAATCTAAATTTTGTTGAATATCGAGACTTTTCTCATTTATAACAGAAACTTCACTGATGTGAACAGAATCTGAAATTCTCTGCCAGGATCAAAGGGAATGAGGTGAGGCAGAGGATCCAGCACAGAGCCCGTGGCTCTGCTGGGACTTTGGGACATCCTGGCCCTGCTGACCCTGCCCTGTGCCAGGACACTCTGAGGCAGCCCTGGCCAGCTGCTCTCTCTGCTGCTGCTCATCAAACCCGCCTGGATTTTCTCATCACCAGGAGCTATGAAAATTCTGATTTCCTGACCAAATTTCAGGCCTGATTTCAAGTCATATTTCAGCCTGAGCACACACAGTCCCACAGCCTCAGAAGAGCTGCTCTGTGCTGGGGGGGTCAATGCTTCCAGAGCATCCTACTTCAGGATTCTTTTGGATCAGGAAAAGCACTTTTTAAACTGCATGCAGTGTTTATTTCCTGCAGCAAATGGGGAGGAGCTCATGTTCCAATTTGATTCAGTTACTCAGAGGACAGGCAGAGACAGCACACCAAGACTCTCCTGTTATCTTTCAAGAATTCCACTGCAGTTTACATCTGAAGAAAAGGTGAGGTTAGAGACAACTTCACCAGGACATTTCATTCCTCACATACAGACACAACAGAAGGGATGGGGCCACAGGCTCAGAGCACAAAGTTCTTGTTCTTCCCTCCTTGTGTGGCCCTCACAGCAGCAGGGCTGGCTCATGGTGTGCTGGAGCTGCCACCAGGTCAGTGTGACACTGAACCTTCAGGTGTGATTCCAGAGGGGAGAAAGAAAATAAATCTGTGTGCTGCCTTGGCCAGTGTCCTTCAGCCTTGAAGGGAATCTCTCTGAATGGGGCAGGAGGTTCCTGCTGAGCCAAGGCTTAGGATGGATTTCCCCAGTGTAACATCTCACAGGGCTGAACAGACACTCACTTGGGCTCTGCAATAAATCCCCACCAGCAAGACTGTGCTGGGAAAAGTCTTTAAATAATTCCCAAGTACTTTCAGGCCCTACATCCCTGCCCAGCCCAAGCCAAGCCCCCACCTGGAGCAGCTGGAGAAGGGAGGGGATAATTCTTCTCCTCTTCTATGAACTGCAAGGCCACGGTGCAGAAATTGCTCTCGTACTGAACCACCAGGTGACTCAGGGCCACCACCAGCTCCTGGGAAAGAGAAACATCTCATGGTGACACGTGTGACACAAGGCACTGAGGGCAAACCCTGACCAGGACTGCTGCTGTCTCTGGGTGCCCATCTGCTGGACCCCAGAAATCTGGAGGTTTTGAGCTTTCTGTGCTTTCGGACACGTTCAGAATTCTGGGATCCAACACCCATCCAGGGTGGGAATTGTCCCTTAATTCAAGGGAGGAACTGCAGAAGCCAGAGGACTCTGTCCCACACTAAATCCTCCTTTTCTCCTTCCCCCCTTCTGAGCAGCCTGCCCCAGTGCGAGGTGTCCCTGCCCAGGCCTTGGAACCAGCTGAGCTTTGGTCCCTTCCAGCCCAGCCCATGGGGTGTGTGTGGCTCCCCCAGAGCCAGGGCTGGGGGTTCTGAGCCCCCCGTGGCACAGCTGGACCCTGCTGGCCCTGCCCAGCCCTGCCCAGAGCAGCAGCCAGGGACAGAGCTGCCTTTGGCTGCTGCCTGTGCCCAGGGAATGATGTCCCAAGGAGAGATTTATGAATCTCACAGAGCATCCAGTGTGACACGCAGCTCCCTCTTGAATTAAACTGATTAAATGCTGGAACAAGACAACAGAAATGAATCTTTGCCACGCTGGTGACAACTGCCAGGGTGTTGATGTTCCAGTAAAGTAAACACAAACATTAGGACACTTCAGAACAGCCCTCAGAAACAATCCAGGATGTCAAAAACCATTTCATGTACTATTGATGTACGATGGTGCATCAGAAACTGGAACAATCCCAAAGCTGGAGCAGCCTGTGACCCATCCCGGGGGCTCAGCCTTTCACTGAACACAGCTCACATTACACAAACTGCAGAGGAGGAACAGCCAGAGGCTCAGCCCAGCCCAGCCCAGCCCATTTCCCAGTTCCCAGCCCCACCTTCCGGACCATGGGGCTGCCGTCGTTGATGAGCTGGGCCAGCATCATGGCCACGTTGTGGTCGATGGTGGTCGAGTGGTCCGTGCGCTCTGCCGAGTTGCCCACGAAGGTGCCCAGAGCAAAAACTGCAGCACAACGAACCTGGGGACACAAAGAGCCCTGCCTGTCCCCTCTGCTGCGTGGGGCTTTCATTTATCCCCATGTTATAAATTGGAATTTTACATTTTTTATAATATTTAATATTCTAAAATCCGCTTTTCGCAAATATTAAGACGAATGCTATGTGTAGAATGTAAAAATAACTTTGCTGTCAAGATAAAATTTTTATTTCTGCTATTAACAGAACTTAAACATGGTAGTGGGATAGGTGATATATAATTATACTGCCTGTTTAGTTAAAATAACATCCAATAAACATTTAATGAAGACCCTGCTACTAATATGGCAACCATCAGCACCTGCCATCTGAAGAAAGTATGAAGCAAGGCCCAAACTAAAGGTAATAATAAAAACAGACTAAAACCACAGCCAAAAACCACACATACTCTAAAAGGGCAGGCCCAAAAAGTAGCCATGCTAAACAGCTCCTGGAATATGTGAACTAGTTTGTAGAAAAGTTTAAATATGCAGAATAGTTTATGAATACACAACAGGCTGATGTAATAGAAAAGGTATTTTAAAAATAACTAAAAAAAACCGTAGGTGTGCTCTTGGCTGAATGCCAAGCACTCAGCCCTTAACCTTTGCTTTATTATCTTTATTTCCTACTGTCTTTTATTAAACTTTTTAAACGTTATAGAAACGTTAAAGAAAATAAACCATAAACCTCGTTTTTCACACCCACAAAAGGGAGAGCTGGAAACCTGAGCTGCTGTGAGAGGTGAGCAGGGAACCCTGGGGAGCAACAAGCCAGCAGCAAAGTGAGCCAGGAGCTTTCAGAGAATGCAGGAGAAGTTTCATTCCCCAGAACACCCAGTGACCTCCCCCCTTCCAGCTGGGGTTACTTTGAGTGTGAATCCCCAGGGGTGAGGAGCACACAGCTCCCGTTGGGATGTGGGGTTTTTATAGCAGTGCTGACTGCAGCTCTGGGCTCGTGGGAAAGGAGATATGGGGAAAAAAAGGAGAAAAATCAGGGAGAACTTTGGAAAGCCACCCCACATCCGCAGAAACACTGCTGGAAAAGTGAGGAGAATGGGGCCAGGGACAAGAGGAGGAGGCTGCAGGGCTGGCACTGGATGTTGGGGGGAATTCTTCTCTGATCTGTGCACGTTAGCAGAGCTGCCCAGCCGAGCTCCCTCCTCCAGCCTGTGCTGGGCTCTGTCAGTCACTGCTCAGCCCCTCCTCTCCTGCGAGTGTCACCGAGCTAAAACTGCCAATTCAAGATGCATTTGCACAACGAGCAGGGGGAGAAGAGTTTTCATACTGGGACAAAAAGACTGGAGGGTTTTTTTTTTTTGCAAAACACGGTGAGTTTTGGGACCACGTTTTTAACAGCTTCTGATATTCAAGGAAGCAAAACCGGTGGCATTTCCTAACTGCAGTGCCCAGCTCCCAGGGCTCTGGGGCTCTGTGAACTGCCCCTGCATTCCTCTGGAAGCTCCTCTTGTAGGGCTCGTTCGATTTGCATCACCTTTGAAGAAACAGCAGCAAGATCTTTCTCCGAGGCAGACACAAACACAGAGCTCTAGAAGCCCCAGCTCAGCAGGAATTTTGTTTTTTACCTCCGGGATGGGATCTGAGAGGAGGCTGTAGAGCTTCTCATGGGCGCTGTCTCTCACTCCACACCACCTGGCTGAGTCGAAGTTCTGCCAGATCCTGCCCAGACAAATGGCCACCCACTGCCTGAGGAGCGGGTGGGGATCGTTCAGCTGCTCCAGGCAGATCGCGATCAGGTTCCCTTGCAGGCAGGCTTCCTGCAACACAAAGCCAGCCTTTTGTTTGGGATGACAGCTTCCCACCTCATCCCCACACAGCCACACTATTTCTGAAGGAGTCAGGAAGCCAAGAGAAAAATCATCGTTCTGTGATTCCAGACTGCTTTTGTTACAGAATACCAGCAGAAGGGAAAGGCAGCTAGGGCTGATTAAATAGCCGAGCATTAAAATGCTCTCTGTAATGCATAAAGCTTGGTTTTTCCTCTTTGGAAACATTCCTTGCACCTGTCAGAGCCCCAAGGTTTATGGCTCGATCCACAGACCATTCCCAGCCATCACTTCCCACTGGACAGGACCAGGAGCTCTCTGTGAGGGGACTCCTGTCCTTGTCCCCCACTCTGTGCTGGGTACAGAATCTCTGTCACATCTCCAGACCAATTTTTCTCTTAATCCACATGGAAATAACAAAAACCAACGTCCTAGTTCTGCTTCCAAGTTGAGCTTTGAGCTTTAATGCAAGGCAGGACACTTTTATCAGAGCAAAGGATGAGGCACACGGGGGTGGGAGAGGATGAAGGAACAGGCTGGGACTCACCTGCCCGGTGTTGTAGTTGTTGACAATCACAGCCAGGATGAAGGCTGTCATGGTCCTGTGCTCAGCCTGAAAACAGCACAGACACACACAGGGTTACCTGGGGAACAGCTCCAGCCCACCCTGAAACATGGCACGGTCCCAAGAGCAGCTTGTGCCATGCTGAAAGAATCAGAAAATTCCAGCCTTGTTTCCCCTCTCCTGGCACCAGCCCTGGCACACCCTCAGCACCCTCCCAGCCAGCCTGGCCCTGCTCTGGGGGACCCCAGGCACCCCTTGTGGGAACCCAGCAGCTGCAGAGGGAACTGCCAAAGCCATGGAGCAAATCCTGCTCCTGCAGCCAGCCTGGAGCCCCAGCTCCCACCCTCACTGAGACTCCACACGAGTTTGTAAAGCCTTGCTTGGTGTGGCTGCCACTGGTGGGGGGAGGAAGCCCCACGTGGCACCAGAACAGCAGCAGATCTAAAACAGGGCAAGCAAATGCTCAAGAGTGTGAATAAACGTGATTTGTCCTTACTGGCATGTAAGGATCTGCCAGGACTGAGAGGAAATACTTGTGTCCATTGTCCTTCACCAGGTCAGCCTGGCATGACTGAAAGAGAGACCAAGAACAGCACAGTGAGAACCACAACACACCCATCTGTTCCTGCAGTCATGTACAAACCTTTCATTTCTTAACCATTTTTCTCCAACCTTGCTTTCATTTGAGAACCAAGTAAAGCTCAAGCCCTTCCTGGGGGCTGCAACCAGAGCAGGGAAGGCTCTGGCACTGCCAGGGAGCCACAAACAGCAGGAAATGTGCTGGGGAGGAGCCAAGGGAGCCATCTCTGTGCACACCGAACCTCCCCAGCACATTTCCACCTCCTGCTAGAGCCAGCCCAGACTGCAGAGCAGCCCTGGGAGCACAGGGCAGGTCCTGGGCTGGGCTCATGGGGAGCTCTGGGCTTTGCTCTCACACCAGCTCAGGCTCCAGGCTGATGTTCTGGGGTCACTCTGACGGGATCCACGTGGACAAAGTGAAAATGGAAGGGAGGAAACCCTGACTTGGCATCAGCTCCCCGTGGCACAGCTCTGCCAGAGACAGGATCATGCATTTTTCATGGCCAGGGGAAGGTGAAGGAGGGAATTAATTGCTGAAAGGGGAGGGGATGGCAAGGCAGAGATGCAAGAGAATATTTTAGTGCTGAAGAGAGTGAAGCTGCTGGTTCTGGCAGAGGCAGGAGCAGAGGGCCTGGATTGCTGCCAGGCTGAGAGGCTTCCCCGACCCCTGCACAGCCCAGGCTGCCTCTCCCCTTTCTGTTCTGTTCTGTTTATAAAATGATTTATAAACGTCATGTCCTGGCTGTTCTGCAGGCACGGGGACAGCAGCAGAGGGGAGGATGCCCAGGCCACTCTCCTGGGCTCACAGGGGGGAGGTGATGGCCACAAAGCCAGACCTGAACCCTCCCTGCTGGGCTCCTGGGGATGGCAGCAGCCCTGACACCTCCTGCTCCTCCCAAACAAACCGAGAACAATAACACAGCAGAGCCAAGCAGGCTCAGAATTAACAGAATATTCTGTTTGCAGGGAGCTGCTGCTGCCCCCTCCTCCCTTGCCACTCCATGTGCTGGTGGAACGGGAGAGTGAAACAGCCCAAAGAAACCAAAGCCCAGCAATTTAGAGTATTTCCTGTGTTTTCTGTAAAGCTCGGCCTGCAAACAAGTGAGGCAATGCCAGAGCATGGGAGGGAAGGTGTGAGGGGCAGGGAATCACCAGGGAACCACACCTGAGCCCCTGGCACACACCTGGGGCTGAGGCCACACCTCTGGTGCACACAAATGAGCTTCTCCAGAACTGCTCCAAGAGGAATGGTTTTCATTTTCTTTGCTTTCCCAAATCCTCTTAGGATGTTAATGAAAATATTGTTATGAACTGAACTAAACCTGACAATGCTGGCTCAACAGCAGGGAAATCTTCACAAATGCAGTGCAATGCTCCACACTGAATTGGAGGAGAAATACAAAAATAAATCCCAAAGAGGAAAGATCCAACATCCACAGCAGTTCAGACATTCCACATGGACTTGCAATTGTGCCAGAATTAATGTGTGAACCTCTCCTAATAATTTTATAGTGCTCAACTGATGGCACCCACAAACCACTGAGTCAGAGATACGACTCTACAAATTAATCTGCAATTACTTACCAGCCTCATGATTTATTGGAAAGGCCATCAAGCAGAGCTCTGGCTGAGGCAGTGCTCTGCTGGGAAGCACAAGCAGGCAGGGGCAGCAATACTCACACTGTCCACTGCCAGGATCTTGGCCCAGATGAACACCAGGAGAGGTCTCAGCTCACGGGCTGAGCTCTGCAGGAGCTTCAGCACATAGGGGAAAATGCCAACAGAGAGGGCCTGGCAGGGAGACAACAAACCCCTGTCACAAAAAGCCTGGGAGAAACCCCCCCGGGCAGCTCAGCCCCCCAGCAGGGCCCAGCATCTTTACAGACACAGCTGAGAAATCTGGGAGAAAAGGATTTCCCACATTTCCAGTTGTTCTGTGTGTTTGTCTGTTGCTCATTTTAATCTGGAATGTCACCAGGTATTTCCAGGCCCATGGAGACTCTGAGTTAACCCAGCACCAGCTCTCTCTCCTCACAGCCTGGGCAGTTTCATCCTCACTCCTGGGATAAATATCCTGGGCTCCATATCCTCCCTTCCCTCAGCTCTCCCAAATAAACACGTCACAAAGTTCAGGAATTCCAGCCTTCCCTCTGGAAATCACCAGCTCTCCAGGAGGAGTAAAGCAAACCCCTAAAAAGTCCCAGCACTGAGTGCTCCACATGCAGCTGCTGCTTCATCTTCATCACTTTTATCATCAAACAGCTCCATTTACAGGAGTGCCTTAAACTGCTCCTCTGTTTAATTCTTATTTATGCTCCACATTGTGCTGCCACTTTCCAAACTGCAGAATGCAGCTGCAGCCTGCTCAGAGGAGCTTGTAAAATCCAGACACCAAACAGATAAAGGAGGAGAAGAAAATGATGCAGCCAGTAATAAATGCACATGCTTTTTTTGGCTATTTATTTTATATGACAAACCTTCTTACGTGCCCCAGATATTTCCTCCTGGTTTGTCCCTTACATTATTTTACACTGAAGGAGCTCCAAGGAGCTCCCATTGGACTGGAAATGAACACAGGAGTGGATGTGATGAACACAAAGCCCTGTGCTCCATTTCCCACAGCCAGACCTGCTCATCTGTCACATCTGGGCCTTCTCCTCCCCACCTCCCTCCCCTAAAGCACCACAGCTGCATTTAGCACCCATGCAGGGCTGCAGCTCACGTGCAGCTGCCACGTACCAGGCTCACAGCCCAGGGCCCCAGGTCCAGGAACCTCCCCAGCAGATCCAGAGCTCTCAGTCGGTGCACCTGGCTCAGCAGCACCTGCAGGGCACAGGGGTGGGGTTAGGGTCCAGAGAAAACATTCCTTGGGGTTATTCCAGGGAAAAAACACACCCTGGGGTCATTGTCCAGGGAAAAAACACCCCCTGGGGTTAATTTCCAGGGAAAAAAAAACACACCCTGGGGTTAATTTCCAGGGAAAAAAACCCCACACCCTGGGGTTAATTTCCAGGGAAAAAACACACCCTGGGCCTGCAGGGCACAGCAAAGAGGATCCCAGAGGATCCCAAAGGATCCCAAAGATCCCAAAGGATCCCAGAAGATCCCAAAGAATCCCAGAGGATCCCAGAGGATCCCAGCTGCCTGGCCCAGCCCAGCTCGTGGTCTTTCCTGCAGCAGACCCAGAGGGCAGTGCCAGCCCAGCTCCAGCAGCTCAGGAGCACAGGAGGAGCCTTTGCTTTCCTTGGCAAATCAATATCAGAGACTTTACTTAAGAGGGAGCAAAAGGTCATGTTGGTCGTTAATAAAAATCTCATTAAAATGGAGTCTGACAACGCTAATGAGGTGGTGCTTTACTGGCTTTTACCTACCCTGGTGTGAAATATTAACAGATAGACTTGCAGTTCTTAATCTCCTTAACAGATGTAAGATATTGGAATGCAACGTTTAATCCTCAGTTTAAATTGAGGAACATCCTTCAGCATGGAGCTCAGAGAGACTCCTTGATTTACCTCCCCAATTCCATCCCCTTCTCAGCATGTTTGCATGCTGCATATTGAAATTAGATTATTTTTCATGTTTAATATTGAAGAATAACTAAATTACTTGGCTGACATCTCCCACCCTGGATGAGTGGTGCTGGATACTGAGGTGGTGCAGGAAAGGTCCAGAAGAAAGCAGGGGCATGTGATAACTGCTATGGTTTCACTCTGAATATCAGAGCTCAGATCTCAGGACAGGTCACAAGAGGAAGGATTTTGGTCATCCTGCCCTAGTTGGCACCAGCCTATTCCAGGAATTACAGGGGCAGCAGTTTGGGATTAAAGCAGGAACAGGACAGGGGCACAGCTGGGACCCTCCAGCCTGCAGAGAAACCAGGCAACTCCAAACTCTGTCAGGAAAAGGAACTGATTGAAACTGGAAAGGAACTGGGTGAAAATAAACCCCCAGCCCCACAGTGCTGCCCTCCCACAGGAGTTAGTGTCAGTGTCTGATGGAAAAGCTCCATCCTCCATTGCCCAGCCCACACCAGCCTTGGGCTCAGGATTTCCCAGCCCAGCTCCCTGGAGGATCTGCACAATAACCTGAGCCTGGGGTGAGCCCGGGGGTCAGGACACAATCCTCTCCTCCTGCTGGAATCGTGGCAGTGCTGGGTCACAGC